CAGGACAATTGGACTGAGAGTTTTCATGCAGAGATGAAGTCCTCGTCGTCGCTGATGTCAATGGACGCAAAAATATCTTTCCGAAATATTTCGAGGAAGGTTGAAAGTTGGTCGCGCCTCATCTCAAACGCTTTGACTTTCTCCACAGGACAAGAGCTGCTATGCTTGTCGTCTGCTAGCTCTGGATGATTTCTACTTCACCACCAACGAAGCCTAGTAAGACTACACGATCGTTGCGAGGTCGGTTGATTACCGTCGGCGGAATCACCTCGGAATCACCTCGATCTTGAAATGAACTTTTTTTAGCCGTGGCATGCCCTGAGCTCATGCAGGTAAGTGTAGTATCACGTCCAGCGCGCCCTCTTTTTCAGCATCACTGGTATACTATGGTACGGCACCTGGGCGTGCATCACTAGCACTACGTGTAGAGTCTACACGGCTCTTGCAGGTACAATCATGTACTAGTACTGAGTGTCTCAGCCAGAGCGACAAATTGTATCGCTGTTGCAGGCATTTAGTTTGCCGACCCCTCGATGTTTCTCCAAGCGCTGCCACTTGTTCCACGAATTCTCACCCCAGCTAAGGTAAAACAGTGATGGGGCTTGAGTGAATGGCCATAAGCACGAGAAATGTGCAGGCTGCAACGCCTGACTGATCTCAGCGAGTCGAAATTACCAGCGCAGCGACATCAGCGAAGAAATTGCGTCTAGTTCAAAAACTCCAGCTTCCAATAACAGAAAATAGAACTTTGCCGTCACCCTATACTGATGACTATCGCCTATGTCCGATTCCTTGCCTCTGGTACGAGTGCTGGTGAGTAAATACCGCGTTTTACATCAAAAGTCAAACTGCGACAATTTCGATGATGCGGAGGAAGTAGTTAGCCCAGGCCCACGGGTGCACACCCAGGCCTACGAGCACACCTCCGCATACGCACATGCGCAGCCGCATGCGCGCACCCACACACACATTCATGTGCACAAATATAGTTGCAGACACTCCCACATCTCGTCTGTGCACACAACGACGTACCCATGCGCGCATTCACAAACAATTCACAATTTCACACATAGGGTTGGGGGTTTCCAAAACTTCATTTTGATTAAAGATGTTAAAATAATATGCTTGATGCAGGTCTATATAATAGTAGGTGATGATAGACCGGTTCCAAGAAGCCAAACGACAATAGTTGCATCATATCATCACTTTTGGTCGTCAGTGATTCACACTGACGCACGAACGGCCCACCAAGGGTTGGCCTCCTGCTGCCCACCAAGGACCGATGACAAGAGCGGCCGCCGAGGCCAACAGTCAGCCCACTGAGGGCTAAGTAATCCTGACCACCGCGGGCCGTTAGCATACTGCCCACCCTAGGGCGTACAAATGGCCGACGCGGCTAGCAACCTGCCAGCTGCGGGCGCATGAACGGCCGCGGAGGCCAACACATTACCCATCGAGGGTTAAAGCATACGGCCCAACTGAGGGCGCGTGAATAAGTAGATAGCCCAATGGAGGGCACACGAACGCATAAAGCATACTGCCCACGTGGGCCGATCATATTATACTGCCCACCGTGGGCTTAATCATACTGCCTATTGAGAAAACGAACAGCCACCGAGGCCGATAACCCGCCAGCCAAGGGCAAAACATACTGCCCGCTGGGGCCGATCTCATACTGCCCAGTGAAGGCAAACGAACGGCCACAGAGTCCAAGAACTCACACAACTGCGTGGCATGAGGCGTCACACCACACGCATACAATATGATGCCCGCTTGCACCCAAAACAGACAACAAACCTAGAAGCCATGGCACCCCCGCTAAGGAAGGTGTATTTGTACCCTCAGCATTATACCTATTGTTGAGTCCGAACAAGAGACTGACGACGGGAACAGGTATGTTGGTGGAACGACATTTATTAGAGACGGGATGACTAAGACCAGGACGAACGAAACGACTACATGGCGATTATTGAAGAGGGAGATTATTGAGGAGTGAGAAAGAGAAAGAGATCAAATCTGAACGGCAAGATAAAGGGCCTGGGTAGCTATGGCAATTATGGGCGCGCAAGTAGCTACCCAGGCCAACGGAACAAAAGGAGACAAAAGGTGAGTATGCCAGTGCATGCAGGCCAGCTAGAAAAGATACGGGAGGAGGTACCTAACATACCTCCCCTGAGTGAAAAAAGAACCGCGACCTCGCGGGAAATAATAAGACGATGAGAAAAATAGAGAGAAACAATGACTGAGGAAGAAGAGAAGAAAGAACAAAACAAACCAAAACACACACACAACACACGGGCCTCACAAAAGTGTGTACTAAAAATGCACTACAGATCATTACAACATTCCTGTACTACTTATAGAGTGTACATGGCCAATAACAACGGGCCCAAATGCCCCTTCAAAAAATGGCACAAAAATAACTATTGGAGTTTGATGAGGAACGTGAATTGCATTCTGATTACTAGTATTTTGCACGGCTGATACAGCCTAGTTACACTTTAATATACGACATAAATAAAAGAGTGTGCCTCACCATGACCGGACCCCCTAATATTAATGAAGGACACCCGCGCGCACACACACACTACAAAAATCACAAAATAAAATATACCGAAAACAAATTTGACGACGAAGGACGGATGAAAAAGAAAGAGAGAAATAAGGAAAGTAGCTGACCTGCATGACTTGGACGAGACGAGGTTGACATAGAAGAGACGAGGTTGACATGGACGAGACGAGGTTGACATGGACGAGACGAGGTTGACATAGACGAGAAGAGGGTGGAGACGAGACGAGGTTGGAGACGAGACAAGATGGACATGGACGAGACGAGGTTGACATGGACGAGACGAATGGCGGTTGAGGACGAGGGCCGTGGGTTCCGAGCAATGGTCGGGCGCCAATGTTGAGTATGAATTAGGACAACGGACAACGGGAACAAGTTAGTTGGTGGAACGACATTTATTAGAGACGGGATGACTAAGACCAGGACAAACGAAACGACTACATGGTGATTATTGAAGAGGGAGATTATTGAAGAGTGAGAAAGAGAAAGAGATCAAGTCCGAACGGCAAGATAAAGCGCCTGGGTAGCTATGGCAATTATGGGCGCGCAAGTAGCTACCCAGGCCAACGGAACAAAAGGAGACAAAAGGTGAGTACGCGAGTGCATGCAGGCCAGCTAGAAAAGGTGTGTGCACGATCTTGCTCTCTCTACATACTGCTGTGTATCATAGACATCACATGCCCACGCTCTGCGCATGCACAGATTTCCTGTGCGCACAACAGAGCTTGCTGTCTTTCCAGTTTCCTTGCCTGCAGTCAGCTTTCAAATTCTGAACTCAAAAATTCTGATTTCTGATTTGAGTTTGCCTCCGTCCTGCTTCAGAGTGTCAGTCCTAGTTCTGCCGATTGGCTGCCGCCTTTAGTATTCGCTTTCCTTGTTCTCTCTCAGCTCAATCCTGTCAGACTCCGTGTCTTCAGCGGCCAGAGATTATTTGAGTATTATATTCTCACGATGGCTCGTTTCTCGACCAGAAAAAAGACGCCATCGGCCAGAGTGGCAGCTCAACCTTCGGATACAGGACGTAATGTGCGTGTGCGGCGAAATCCTGTTCGTCTTCAACCGCCCAGAACTCCAATATCTCCCCACTTGGATTCTGTTGTCTCCGACGTTGCGCCGTCAGTTTCTTCTGCCGCCGCCTTGAATGTGGTCCCTGATCCCGGGGCGGCAACTCAAACTTCGGCTGCAGGCAGTAATGCGCGTGCGAGGCCAACTCCTGTTCGTCGTCAACCAACTGGGACTCCATTATCCACGGCCTCTGTTGTCTCCGACGTTGCGCCGTCAGTTTCTTCTGCCGCCGCCTTGAGTGTGGTCCCTGATGTACTTGCTTCGGCTGTTTCTCAGGCCGTCGACCAGGTCCTCCAGCCCCTGATGGAGCGAGTAGAGCAGTTGGAATCTGCTGCAGCCGTCGTGCCGCTTGTCAACTCCAGCTCCGTTCATGCATTGGGCCATCCGCCGGCTGCTCGTCCGTCGCTCTCTGTACCTGATAAACTCCGCGGGCGAATTGAACGCGGCGAGTTTATTGACTTCGACGACCTCCTCCCGGACCAGCTGGGTGTGGAGCCCGATGTGGTCCAGCTAGCTGTGGGGGCCAACCGCTCTGTCCAACTTGTACAGAAGCCAACTCAGGCCCAGCGCCGCCATGTCCACGATGTAGCGTCATGGCTCGAGGCGTTTACTGTCTACACAAGAGTAATTGTCGCGGCGGCTCCAGATAGGGCGAATGATTTGCTGGCATATCAGGCCACTATTCTGGATGCAAATAACTCGTATCAGGTGGACGCATGGCTAAGTTATGACAGGCGTTTCCGGCGCGCCATAGCCTCCCAACCACTGTCGTACGACTGGGCTATCATCGACTCTAATTTGTGGCAGTCTTCATTCACCAGCCGTGGTCGCCCGCCATGTTCGCGCTGTTCTCTGGTGCACCCAGTGGCCCAGGCCCGGTGTCCCTTTAGACCAGGGCCTCCATCCGTCGGCGCTGGGAGTGGAGGTCCGCCGCAGTCCAGCGCGCCAACCCATCTTGGGAAGCCTATCTGCCGCAACTTCAACAGGGACCAGTGCAACAACTCATTCTGCTATCGTGCCCACGTGTGCCTTCAATGCCGCGGGAAGCACCCAGAAGTCAAATGTGGCAGGGGACAGTCCGCCACCTCAGCGTCTGCTCCGTAAACATTCTGTGGAGACCCCCATCAATGTACGCCGATTAGCCGGGCTCCTTAACCGTCATTCGGATCACTCCTTCTCTCACTTTGTGTTGCATGGGTTGTGTCATGGTTTCACGATAGGCCATTCTGCTGCTATATCTGGTGTTCATAGTTCTCCCAATCACCTGTCGGCTATCCGTAATATGCAGTATGTTTCTTCCTATTTGACCGAATGTTGTGAAGCTGGGCAAACAGCAGGTCCATTTCCGGAGCCACCCTTTCTGTGCATGCAGACATCTGGTCTGGGTGTTGTGCCGAAGTCCAGTGGAAAACTTCGTGTGATACATGACCTGTCGTCTCCCGATGGCAGCAGTGTCAACGATGCTATACCACGCGGGCAGTTCAGCCTGCATCACGACTCCGTGGACACCGCAATTGCCGCCATTATGCGCCTCGGCAAGGGCTCCCTCTTGACAAAGGTAGATATCCGTAATGCATTTCGCCTGTGTCCCGTCGCCCCCTCGGACTGGCATCTTCTCGAGATCCGTTGGAACGGCATGTACTATTACGAGAAGGTCCTTCCATTTGGTCTCCGCTCCTCACCATTCATCTTCAACCAGCTGGCAACGGCTATCAACTGGGTCCTTGTCCATGTCGGCTTCTTGCCCGACGTAATGCACTACCTCGATGACTTCCTCGACATCTGCCCACCAAGCTCCTCTCTGGCGGCCAAGCACAAGGCCATCATCTTCTTGTTCCAGTTCTTGAACATACCTGTCGCCACAGAGAAAGTCGAGGGCCCTTCCACTGTCCTCACCTTCCTCGGTTTGGAACTGGACACCGATCGCTTGGAAGTGCGTCTGCCTCAGTCCAAGCTTCTGGCCCTACGTCGTTTAGTCTCTACCACCCTCGACAAGGGTTGCGTTCTCAAACGCGAACTGGCCTCACTCCTGGGCCACCTCTCGTTCGCTTCCAGAGCAATTCCTGCCGCCCGTACATTCTTACGCCGCCTGTATGACCTCGACAAGGCCACATCTGAGATGTCATCTCACCGAATGCTGCACCTCTCAGCCTCAGCCAAGGGCGACCTGAGCTGGTGGCACCAGACTCTGTCAACATGGAACGGAAAGTCATTTTTCCTGCTGGAGAAGTGGATGCCCAGCGCTGACCTCCAGTTGCAAACCGACGCAAGTGGCACCATTGGATTTGGAGCCTTCTTCAATGGTCGCTGGTTCAGAGGTGACTGGTCTCCGCAGCAACTGGAACTAAGCATTACCTACAGGGAGCTCTTCGCCATTGTCGCGGCCTGCGCCACATGGGGGATCGAGTGGCTGCGGCTGCGTGTGGAGTTTCAGTGCGACAACCAAGCTGTCGTGGAGTGCCTGAAGACGGGCACGAGCCGGTCTCCTGCAGTCATGGCACTCATCCGCACCCTGTACTCAATCTGTGTGAAGCACAATTTCCTGATCCGAGCATCGCACCTGCCAGGAATTTTAGGGCTCACAGTTGCGTACATTCAACATCAGCGCCATTTTGTTCCACGAGGTGCTGGCGTGATCAGTGAAAACCGTGTTTCAGCCAATCACCGGGCTTGGAATTTTGAATATTTTTTGAATCTTCTATCGATTCGTTCTAAAGATCGACTGGCCGGAGAGCCATGAAATTTTCAGGGAGGACTCCTTGGCTGAAGGACTACAGGATTACCGAACGATTTTTTCAAATCCGTGCTCTGAGACCCACGAACGGGATTTTGTGGATTTTCGTCCCTCGATGGGACAAACATCTGTGGGAATCGATGACACAAGCTCGGTGAAAACCAAAAATATGGCTCGGTAATCCTCTGGCCAGGTCCCTCAAGAAAATTTTGAGCCATAGATCGTCAAAATCGGAGCAACCATTGTGCAGTTCTTACATTTTGAAGCGCGCAAGGTCAAGAAGAAGACCGTGCGCAAGCTGACATGACAGAAAACGGCAACTCAAGAAAAAAATAATGATGATGCGCAACCTTGTCATGTCACGCATACCACCACAGATTTCCTGTACCCTGCGTGCGGAAAACATCGCTTTGCATTCCAGAAAAGCTCACTTACCTAAAATACGTGTTGGTCACCTCGCAAGGCGATCAGCGCCGTTTTCGAGTGATTTGTTTTGTGCGCTCATTTTGTTCTTCATGGACAGCTCTGCAAACGTTCCCGGAAACGACCTTGCAACTACTTTCTGATCGTGGATGGACGGCTTGTTCGTGGCCTGTTTGCCTAGGGTCGTGAGAAGCGCCGCAGATCTTTGCTCAAACTACAAAGATTACGCGACGGCGTGCACAACTCTTGTTCACCTGCCGTTTCGTTCACTGCGCAGTGGAACGAACTCCTTTCCTTAGGGCCTTCCAAATCCATGGTCAGGTGTGGGTAGAGCCGAGTGTGAGCTGGTCATTGTGGAGTATCGTCGTGGCAGACTAGTACTCTTCATCAATTTCTTCCCGGGCATTAGTGACCCGAAGCGCTTGTAGGCTTGCGATATTTTTGGGTAGTTCGTCCCTCACTTCACCTTAGCCACAGCTCAGTACCAAGGGTAAGTCACGGAGAACTACCATTGTAATGTTCGATGTCCATCTCCCGAACTACAGAAAAGATCAAGGCCTCCCAAGCTCCTCCATATGCCATCTTCTAGCTACTCGTCGGAAATTTTGTTTGCCGACAGAGCAAGAAAACAGCAGCTCCATCATGCTGCAGCCTGCACGTAGATCAGAGACTACACGCCAGCACAGAACTGCATACAGCTCCGCACGCGAAAGGATCACGTGAACTTGAGTGCCCCAAATCAAAATGGCGCTGATGTCCACTGGCTATCAGCATACGTACTGTGAGCCCTAAATTTCCAATACCATCGCTGATGCCCTGTCCCGGAACAAGATGGATGCCTTCAGGACCTTTGCTCCTACAGCTGCGGAGCGGCCTTACACCATGGTCCAGCCGATCACCGAGTAAGTGCAAAGACATTCACTTACGATGCAGATAGCGTTCTCTGTCGATCCTACTCCACAATATCAGTCTGTCTTTATGCCTCTAGAACAACGCTGAGTCTTGTGCAATACATACTTACCATCTATATTGGTTATCACCCGCTATCTCCTCTGGCCCTAATGGGAATGTCGGCATGGGCACTCCTCCGTAACTGGCCTCTCGCGCACTACTATTAAACTCGCATGGGTCATAAACCGCTCCTGCTCAACGCAGGCCGACGCACAAACTCGCATGGGTCACAAACCGCTCCTGCTCAGCGCAGGCCGACCCACTTGGTCATATACAGCTCCTGCCCTCGGTAGGCCGACCACACGATTCGTTAACGCGCACTCAATTGAGGCCAGCTACTCTGCCCGACATTCCCATTCTTCCAAACTCACTCTCTTGTCTTTTGGTGTGTCGCGTCCTGCACGCGTGTGTGTCTACTCTATACTCTAGCATGGGGAGTAGAATGTTAATCCAGCATTCTCTCAACCGCCTCACATTCATGTGACAGAGAATAAATGCTCGAACACCACCACAAGCTGCTTGCGTGAGCCCACTTACTGGCCCACTCGGCGCCAACACTGCATACTGCTTATTGGCCTAGAAAAGCACATACCGTACTGGCAAACAAGCCATATTGCCCAGCCATGATGGCTGCTTTCACCTTAGCAACTCTAGCAGTAGCCACAAACTCTCACAGCCCGCAACTCTGCATCTCCTCCACCACTCACACGATAGCACACGCGTCTGCCACATGCACATCCACATACGTACAGTACACACCACACGTCCATATCCTCACCACTGCCATACCTACGGAACTACGCACTCACACTGCTGAAAAATGCTGGCATGGGCCCACTTACCAATCACTAATACTTATACTGACCTGGGAAAACGCAAACGGCGGCCATCAGTTCCAAGCTAGTTCATTCTATTGGCTTCTAGCCTGCCCGACGCTGAGCCATGCATAATGTGCTTCCGGTACGCATCCGGTGCGTGCGCGCGCAAGCTGGGGATCCAAGCCATAGAGCACTTTCCTCGCGCCGGACTTATCTTGATGGGACACATGATGGCTGTCGGCGTAAACCTGCACATCAATGTTGGCGAGCCTTTAAGCACATTGCATTTGTGGGCCAAGTTTCCCCGAAAAGATAAGGGTCCAGGTAACACCGAACGAGGCGATGGTAGTAGACTGATGTTCAATCCTGGACAGGGTAGGTCGCCCACTCTATCAGCCAGCATACTGCAGTCCTGACCACGTCTTATCACCATACTGAGGTGCCGAGGATTTGAGAGGGGGGAGGGGTTGCCATCTCGCTCTTGGCCAGTGAGCCATAGAGTTGACGCGAGCGGCCGCCGCCCAAATTAATTATTAATGGGGTGCCCAATGCAAACAAAACTAGACCCCAGAACATAGCGTCGACCAGCAGAGAACGGTGGTGACTGCGGAGCAAATGGAAGCACAAGTCGTAACTGGTAATGCACTGATCGTGCCTCAACAGGAGCAGGCAGTCTTTCTTGTTCAACACGCGTAGCGGATGGGCCATCTCGTCCGCCCCAGCAGTAGCAACTGCTGCTCTTTCAACACTGAAACGACGGACATGTACGGTCCTGACCGACAAATGGTGTTAGGATGATGATGAACGTGGCATAAGGTCTGCACTAGTAACAGGGAAAAATGTGTAGCCACTCCCATGCCAAATGCAAAGTCGCATCCGCACGACCCATCTGATAAATGGATAGGGCTTCGCCTGTCGCTCTGTGGCCGAGAGTTGGAGCTAAATGCAAGCACTATGGTGCGCGTGCTGTGTACAATGGACACTTGGAAATCACTGGATGGACAACCTGCTCCAGTGAATTATTCCAGTTGTGTCTTGCCTTGAGTAACAGGGGGCGGAAACAGCCGGGCTCACAGCTGTGAAGTAGAATAGTTTGCCTCTTTCTCCACAAGTGCATGTATATGATACCATAATGTACGACTATTTATTGCTTCGAATTATAGATTTGAATTTGTACGTCGTGTTCTTCGTTTGAGACTTTGCTTACCGTTCTGTTCTTCTATCCATACTCTGCATTCTCCGCACCGGCTCTGTTCCTTTCTTCTCTTTCCAACATCATGTTTCCTTTTCTCTGACTCACTGACTGTCGATTTGTCTAGTTTCGAATTGTTTCATCGTCTGCCAGATCGCAGAGATCGTTTCCTGCATCGTAGATCACTGTTACTTTTCGAACACATTTTTGCGTAGGCGTTTTCACGAGTTGTGTTGACGTCATGCCCTATCAGCTACGCGTCATTATTGCGAGCATGCACACTGCTTCTGCCTTCTGCCGTATTTGCATGCTGCGCTTGCTGCACAGGTTAGCGTCCCCACGCTCGCTGGCCAAAGCCCCATTGACCGCGTCGAGTGCGTACTCGCACATGTCAGCCGGGCTTCTCCACGTCGCCTTGCCCCGCCCCGCCGGTTCCGTGGAGAGTTCCGGGTTTATTTCTCCTTGTTGATTAGCTCTCACAAGATTGAGTTGTTGTTTTCTCTATCCTCACCTAACTAATTCATTTCCAAGTATCAGTCCTTTTTAGTTACCTTATTGTCAGAGTCCGCCATTGTGAGTGCTGTGCGGAGTAGTAGTGGTGAATAATTGGTGTACGTGCGTTACACAACAGAGTGGTGCCGAAACCCGCCTTGGATTTGAGGATCATTGGGTCGTTCGTGTTGTAGTGTTCACCTGTGTTGGTGCGTTTGTGGCCGTGGTCGGTGCCCGTGCTTGTTTCCCGCAAGCTGTTATACTAGTGTTTAGTATCGTTATTTGTAGTGTGTTCTGTTCAGTATGAGTCTCAAGCTGGACAATTTCCTTCGTCCCTTCATGGGCAAGGGGGACGATTTCAATGCCTTCCAGTCGAAATTTGGTCTGTTGGCCAAAATATCTAAATGGACGTCGAACGATGACAAGATGAAACACCTTCCGCTCTTTCTGGACGGCGACGCGTTTCTGGTGTATGATCGATTGTCGGACACCGACAAGGCAGATCCGGATGTTGTGTTCGGCAAGCTATCATCTGCGTTCGCCGTGACGAAGTCGCAGGCATACGGCCTGTTTGTACAGCGTAAGCTGAGACCTGATGAGTCGGTGGACGCGTACGTCGCCGATCTGCAACGGTTGCTGGGCCTGTCTGGTCACAGCGCGACTGGTGACGAGGACACTGTAGTGATTGAACAGTTTATCAGTGGGTTACCGATAGAATTTGTCCAGCCCCTGCGTATGGCCACTGCTAGGAAAAAATTAAAAGTCTCGGAGTGCGTGGAGCAGGTGCGTGCCCTACAGGCTACGCATGCTGATTGTGTCCGTAGTTTCAGGGTGGTCACCAGTGCTGCAACTGGAGGTGCTGGATGTGCGTCCCGCAGCGTAATTTGCCACCAATGCCACGAGCCCGGACATATTAAGGGGAACTGTCCTCGCCGAAAGAGGCAACGTGATCGGTATGGCGGTGGGGAACGAACATGCTTCTTTTGCGACAAGCTTGGCCATGTCAAGTCTGCATGCCCAGAGCGCAAAGCCTGGATAGCGGCTTCTGCTGGCTAATCTGCTGCCGGGGTGTCAAAAGCGGACAAGAAAGCCCCAGTCCTGTGCATTTCAAGTGCCTCTCGTCCTGGCACCCTCCCGAGAATGCATGCGGATGTACGTCGTTGTGGTGTCAAGTGTGACTGGGAATGTGTCACTGCTGTTATTGATAGTGGGTCAACCCATACACTGATCTCTGCTAGCTGCACCTCAGTACTCACCGCCAACTGCCCGGTCGATGGCACATTGAATGTGCTCGTTGCCTTGGATGGCCAACCATTACCTGTCGTTGGGACTGTTCGCCTGGTGCTGAAACGTACTGACGGCCCAGTCCGCCTCTCACCAATCGAGGTTACAGCTGCAGTCATCAAGAGTTTGGATGCTGTGGATGCATCGGTGCTCATCGGGCTGACCTCATTGCTCCAGCTGGTGGTCTCAGCCTACAGTACGGCGATAACAACTTATTGTGTGGTGTCCATTTTGTATCTTCGCGACTCGTGGCTTTAGTAACTGAGTTGAGTTTGATATCGACAAACGTAACCCGTCGTTGATGGGGTTCCCTAAGTTTCTTTTCCCCTTGTGCCTCATCCTGATGACGCTTCTTGGGCATGGAGAGTAGATGTGTCATCAACGAATGGGACGAACTGTTCCTTAGTCGGTAGAGCATGAGACTCTTAATCTCAGGGTCGTGGGTTCGAGCCCCGCGTTGGGCGCCAAATGTCATCAACGAGTGGCACGAACTGCTCTCCTCTTGCGCAACCGCGCCACGCCACACACCAAAAGGCCAAGTAACTTTAGTTTATAGAGTGAGTATTCTTGCTCTCAGGCGACGACGAGGCAACTGACACCGAAACAAGACGAGACAAGGGAATATATTGTGAACACGTACAACGGCAACAGGACGAGAAAGTGTGTATACAACGGGGAGAGAAGACGGTGCAGCCGCATGTACACAGGAGTCAAAAACAGCGCAGCAGCGTGTACCACGGCTCAGCAGCATGTAAGACAAAGAGACACAAACGCAGGAACAGGTACGACAAAGATACACAAACGCAGCAGCATGTACGACAAAGAGCTCCACGCGCAGCCGCATGTACAACGAAGACCTACAAGCGCAGCCACATGAACAACAGATGGCGAAGATGAATGTCCGATTGATTCTCACAATGATTGCTTGCACCTGTGAGAATCTGCTGGTGAGATGCTGGTATGCAGGGGCATCTCCGCCGACTACGCGAAATCGTAGTTAGGAGTGAGACGATCCACTTGCGACATCAACCAATTACTTGTACGAGTATGTTTTCTCCGCCGTTTTCTGCCCTCGGCTGCCGTCCGCATTGCGCGGGGCGATGTGCTCGATCTCCGACGCGACTGGTGCTGGCGGAGTGCTGCGAGCGGAAAATGCGCCTGGATCGGCAAGGCATGGGGAGGAACCTAAGAGCAATCTGTCGTCATGCTGCTGGGAAAAAATGTTCCGCATAAAGATACTGGGACTGGAAAACTGCCGGTTTGTTTGCCAGCCAAGTGACAGAATCGAAAGCTGTAGCTAGACGACAATGCCGAGAGAGCAAGAAACTAACTGGACAAACTGATGGAAAAGCTAATACCGCTTTAAAAGCTAAAACTGCATTTTGACACATCAAGAAATCAACTGCAAAGGAACGCACCTTCACATCCCGACAGTTCAAGAGCTTGAAGAAGGCACGTCTTCCGATATGACACCATAACAGGATGTCCGTAAAATTTTGTGAGCTTCCAAATCGTGCTGGGACAGCCACGTGACACACACTCACAGCAATATGCCAATACTGCACGTGTGCCAGGGCTTGCGCAAAAGCGAGTCCAACTTGCGTACTAGTTTTGCTTTCAACTCATTCTCTGTCTTTCTCTGAAATGTTCTTGTTTGAAAAACAACCATTGGTCTGCCTTGGCATAGAGTTGGCATGTATCTCTGTGTGACTGTTAAATTCCTATCCATTAGTTTCCTTGAAAGTGAAAATAACTGATTGGTTCAAACTTAAAAGTGATAACAAATAATATTAAATTGTTGTTTCCTCGCTGCCTTTTAATAAGAGGGCATGTCTGAGTATACCAAAGTATGTGGGCAAGTGGATCTCTCCGATTTCGCTCAAAATTCGCAGGTATGTTCCCTTTGGGGTGTAGTTCGATTCTGCAAAGCCCTTGAAAACGTTTCTGAAGGGAACCTTGAAACTTGCATACCCCTCAAAAATGGCCGAAATATCACACTATTTATGGGTCTATGAACGAGTCACGCCACAGCGTATACGAACAAGCTACGAACAATACTCCATCAAGCCAACATTGCCTCACCTTAGAAGAGTTCCTGGAGCAGTACCGCTTAGCCACGCCAGGATCCCAGAAGACGAGGGCCATCACCCCCTGACGCCACAAATGATCGTCTTGAAAATAGCCAACTACGTCCTCAATTGGCAAGAACTATACATCGGCAGATAGTAGAACACCTCTTCTAGCGCTGAGGACATGTTCTCCATCTTCCTTTTGGGGTTTTCTTGAAATGAACTTTTTTTTGAATTTTTCCACTTGACCATGCTTGCATGCTGGCCAAAGTCATACCTGCGCAGGAAAGTTCGCCCCTCCACGATGTATCCTAGGCAATTTCTACTCCAACACTGCAGAACAAAGTGTATTGTTGACTCTGACAAGGGAAACCAGCAGTGATCACTTGTCACTCCAAACGACAAGATTCTCCTTGCGCCACCGACAAATTTTGGTGCGACCGTTGATGCAAAAGTGACTGAAGTCCTGAGCGCAGTTTTTGAATTTTATTGCAAGAGGCACTGAGAAATCGCGGGCCTTGTGACGCAAGAATGCCAAGTCGAGTAAATTACGGCTCACGAGATTTCAGAGTCACCTTCGTCATGTGTGATTGCTACTCGTACTCGCCTTGATTCTTGAATGCCCGTTGATCTGGAAGCGATCACACATATGTTGTTACTGCGTTGAAGAACACGCTGACCGTGTTGTAGGCCTACGAACCGGGACTTTCCCTGACCATGTAGCTGGAAGACCGGTGAAATGATGATGAAATAACGTCCTTTATGACGTAAGAAATCTGCCATGCTGTTCACGCGACAACCGCATACAGCCAGTGCTGTTAGCGTACCAGTCAACACAAAGGGAACGAGCTAGCAGCTCTTGTTGAGGATCGACATGAAAACAAGGGACTTTTACTGTTGGACTATGTTCGGGGTTGCAGGAGGTACAGTAAGTGTGAAAGATGCATAACTCTCCTTGCTGTACGGCGGGATATTTCAACGGCTTGCTGCCATTGCAACACTCCTAGGACAGTTTGTGGGGGTTCTCAGGAGATCAAGCGGGAAATGCAGCGCATCTTACCTCAGCCATCACGGTCTGTACCGAGTAGCGTTCCAGACACGATCGCGATAGATCGCGGCATGTCGCGACCCAGGAAGCGTCATCCTACGTCACAAAGCACGCGATCTCACCGTGCCTCTTGCAATAAAATTCAAAAACTGCGCTCAGGACTTCAGTCACTTTTGCATCAACGGTCGCACCAAAATTTGTCGGTGGCGCAAGGAGAAGCTTGTCGTTTGGAGTGACAAGGGATCACCGCTGGTTTTCCTGGTCGGAGTCAACAATACACATTGTTCTGCAGCGTTGGGAGTGGTGTTGGAGTAGAAATTGCCGAGGAGACATCGCGGAGGGGCGAGCTTTCCTGCGCAGGTATGACTTTGGCCAGCATGCCAGCATGGTCAAGTGGAAAAATTCAAAAAAGTTTTCTTCAAGAAAACCCCAAAAGGAAGATGGGAGACATGTCCTCAGTGCTAGAAGAGGTGTTCTACTATCTGCCGGTGTATAGTTCTTGCCAATTGAGGACGTAGCTGGCTGTTTTGCCAGCGCTTGTAAATTAGCTATTTTCAAGACGATCATTTGTGGCGTCAGGGGGTGATGGCCCTCGTCTTCTGGGATCCTAGCGTGGCTAGGCGGTACTGCTCCAGGAACTCTTCTAAGGTGAGGCAATGTTGGCTTGATGGAGTTTTGTTCGTAGCTTGTTCGTCTACGCTGTGGTGTGACTCGTTCATAGACCCATAATTAGTGTGATATTTCGGCCATTTTTGAGGGGTATGCAAGTTTCAAGGTTCCCTTCAGAAACTTTTTCAAGGGCTTTTGCACAAGCGATCTACACCCCAAAGGGAACATACCTGCAAATTTTAAGCGAAATCGGAGAGATCCGCTTGCCCGCATACTTTGGTATTCTCAGACATGCTCTCTTAAGTTTTTTTGCCTGATTAGTGTGCACATTACTGTGTATGTTGCGTGCTTACAGAACACAGTTGTGGCAAAACGTTGATACAGCTACACAACCAAAATGGCTGAAAGCAGTGATGGAGGGAAATGGTCATTCCTCTCCAATCTTCCATTTCGGTCAACTGACACTGACTTTAGCTCTAAGGTTGCAATAAAAGTGCATGACCTGTTGAGAGCCCAGTCAACAACAACAACAACAACAACACCAAGCGTGTCTTGCTTGCCAACTCTGAATGGAATGTTCAACCACTGGATCAATGACAATGTTCGTCAACAGCCGTCGCCTCAGAAATTCAATGATGATGTAACTCAGCTCTGTGATGTGGTGAAACTCGTCTTCAATGGAAACGAACATGCTTCTCCAGTGCTGTACCCATGCTTGCTCTACCTTTGCATTCAGCTGAAGAAACAAATCCATAGGATGACTTTTTCATCTTGGCGAATACCAGGCGCAGCTTCCAAAAAAACGACATTGCGTGCAACTTTGCAAGAACGTCTGATCAGCGTTATGGCTGACTTCACTGATGACCTGGATTCGATGTTCATCACCAATGATGCATGTACAGAGGACATGATAGACCTGATGGAATTCACCCAGTGCTCAAAACAGGCTGCAGGTGTTTTTGCAACACTTGCCCAACAGCTGTCCTTGCGAGACGATGTCTTCAAGCCAGATGTCCAGCTCATGAAAGCATTCTTCAGCTTGGTGCGCCTCGACCTCAAGTTCAATGCACTCAATGGCAACCAACAGACATACTGGCATGGTCTCTTTCACCATATTCAAGGTTTCTTCAGAATCTCGAAGAACCAGGAAGGAGTGGAGCACTTCTTGGATGGTTTTTCGGATATGCTGAGGAAATGCAAGAAGACCAGGCTATTGATTCCACTTGGCCCTCAAGCTTTTTGTGAATTGCTCAAAGGACTATACAAGGATTCTGCAGCCAGTCAAAATGATAGGCTTTATCCAGAAGCGGCACGCGGCTTGATTCAACGGTTTCGGGAGTTCTTCACGGACGGGTTTGATGACAATCAAGTTTGGAAATTTGTTTTTGGTCGCCTTGCAACCTGCAAAGACGTGACAGTGAAGTCCAGCTTGATGATGGATCTTGCTAAAGACTGTAAATGTGACACTATGGTCTGTGCTTTGCAAGCCTTGTCACGCAATGGTGGCCCAAATATGGTTCTTGTGTTGATTGCCGAAGTTGCCAAGGAGAAATACCTCTCTGAACATCTGCTGAAGTATCTGTCACAAGTATTCAATCGCTATCTGCAACAAACAAGTGGAATTGTCTCAGCCGAGGACCTTAAACACTTCTTTTCCAACGTACCGAAGGAAAACAAGCAGTTTGGTGTTGTCTTGTTCAGCACCTGTGTTCTTGGTGGTAATCCCAACCAAAAGAGGGAGTTGGAGAAGGAACCAGAATCACTTGCCAGTCTCATTGATTTTGTCGGTGAGGTTCAACCTGATCTCATTCAATCCAACCTTGTTCCTATCCTCATGATGCTCAGAAAGGCATGCACGTACCAGGTTTTCTTGATTCTGAAGTACAGCAGCTATGTGCGTGAAATGCAGCTGAATGACAGCATGCAATCTGCCATGAATGACATCAAATACTCTTGGTCCCTTCCGTCCAACAACAGCTACAGGTACTACACGTACCAGCAAGTGGCCAGAACGACACAGGTTGTGTCAAGCTACCTCATCAATGTCATGACTTTACTGGACAACTCCAAGGCAAGCACAACAGAGCGGTCACTGGCATGGATTTGGTGGTTGAAGCTGTGTAAAAAGGTGTCGGAACTTCTCCTGTCTCTGTACAAACAGAACCCTGAGCAAACCATCAACACCTTTGGAACATCATTTGTGGAAGCTCACGACCGGCCCACCAATCTCCATGCGTTTGAGTGGGTTCTGTACACGATGGTACTGCGAAGAATTCTTGCAGCCGATCCGAAGGTGTACGTGAAAGGCCACTGCAGCATTCTGCTCCAACAATGCAATGAGGTATTTGTATACCTCGAGAGCACCAGCTGCAATGATGATGCAAATAGCAGCAGCAGCAGCAGCAGCAGGAACAGCAGCAGGACGGCCACTCAAGCAAAACAACCCAAGGACACAAAGTGGTTTCAGGATCTCAGGACCACGATTCAGAACCACAACGTCAGCATCATTGAAAAGACATACACGGCAGACTCCCATGCATGGTACGTTCAGCAGAAAGAGCAACTGAATAAAGTATTCAAAGTCTTTCAACTGAGAATAGTACAGGAGTGCGATATGCCGACTTTGGATGACCTGCACAAGGAGTTAGACAAGTACGTGAGCATCGTCCAGTGGCTGCAGGAGCAGTGTATTAACAACCTACACCAAACTTCAATGAATGCCTTACAACGTATCAACGGCACGGAAGCACCTGAGTACAAGGATCTTAATGCAGCATGTTCAGCAGCAAAGACCATGTTGATAAGTCTACAATGCCCTCTGCAAGCTGACATGGTAAACGGATCTACTGTTTGCGACTTTCTACACCACTTCTTGTCACAGAAGAGCCATGCTCTTTTCTCGGCCGTCTTGTCCATGCAACAAGAAGGGAAGCCTTGTCATACTCTTGAATCCATGACCGAAAATCTGCAGTCGGCCCACACGTTCATGTCTAGCATTCTGTCTTTGAACGTGAATGCAAAGTCGCTCCTGGAAATGAATGAACAAATGCGGTTTGCCGACATCAGCGCAGAGCTGGCTACATTGGTCTCATTTCCCCCGTACGCCAAGCTAGGTAGCGGTGACCAAGTGAAGAATGTGCTTGAAACCATTCAACAGTGTTTCATAGTGATGAGGTATAGTACCTGGGTGCCCACGTTGCTGAAGGTACTTCAAGACAATGACATGATCACTACGGAGGATGACGCAGATGATGACGATCTCAAAGTAGTCAAAAGTCTGCGGGAAGTGAGCATTGACCGTCTCGAGTTGAAGGCAGTGAAAGAGATGTTTCACCAAGTCAACAATTTATTCAAGGATTTGACCTCGGACCACATGAAGTTCATTGAAGAAGTGCAAAAGCAAGCCAGCTTGATACAGCTGTTGATGGAGCACAGCTTCAACCCTGGGTTCTGTGAACAACTGACGAATCAGACACGCGGAGAACCACTGCAAGCCAGATTGTTACGTTCTCTAATGGCCAGCCACCAATGCCTGCGTGACTTCATCCAACACCAACCAACTCAGCTCCGTGATGCTATCTGTAAGCTGCAGCTGCTACAAGCTACTGCCGAAAACACTGAGCATATACGGACAGCCGGTCAGAACCTTGGCGACATCCGAGGCATTATCCACAAGGCTCAATCTAAAAGTATTGACAATGCATTCGAGCTTGTACATGAGCTACAGAATCATGGCCAAGCAACTGTCCACCTTAATGCTCATATGAGCAGGCTGTCAGCAATTGATTTCAGCTATGATTCTGATGCGGCTGGAGGGTGCACGCTATCAGAGGAGGAATTGTTCGATCTCAGGCGGAAACTGGTTCTCAGTGAAAACAGCAGTGAAGCAGATGTTAAGGAAAGAGCAAAGGCATTTCTGAAGGTCATTAATGCTGTGGATATGCTCAAAGAGACTCTGTTCGCACTGGAAAAGGATGGGCACCCTCACTATTTCATACCCAATCGCCAACTGCGGTATCCTCTCAACGGTGTCTCTAGAATTGAAGAAGAAGGGCGTACTTTGAAGAACACGTTACAGAAGTGGCGTCTGGAACTGAAGCAAGCACGCACTAGTAAAAGTCGTTGTCTTCGTCTCTACAGCAACTCTCAGATTGGCCATATGTTGGCTTTACTACAACCTGGAGAGTTACAACAAAGAAGCATTCAATCCATGATGGAGAATGATACCGTGCAGAATGCCAGCGCAAGATGTGTTGCAGCCATACTGCTTTCATCCCAGCCTCTTTTGAGCAAGCCTGAGAATGTAGAGGGCATACTCCAAGGCACGCATAGACCTTTTGGTCTTGGAAACGGCAGTCATTTGTTGGAAGAACTGTGTACGCTGGTCAATGCTAAAATCAATGTGGAATCTGCAGCTGGAGAAGATGGCCTGACTGCTTATGATGAAGGGAAACAATACATCTATTCAGTAGCACTATCGCAGGTGAATCACCAGCAACGGGTGCATCAGCAACAGCCAAATGGCACTAGCAACCTCCTGCCTAGTGTCCTATCTGTATTTCTACAGCAGCATGCTTTGCCGTGTCAGTCACAGCTACTGTTTTGTACTCTGGACACTACAGTATCGGAGTTAGAACAGTTTGTGTCCCGTGCAACTCTCGTCACATCTGTGCCATTTGTGTTGATTGGCATTGACCGGCTGAATAGGGAGACACGCTCAGCTTTGGCTACAGAACAACTGCGATTGAGTGAACACGAAGAACATGCGGATGTTTACTACATCTTACTGGACTGCTGTGCAACATCTTTACCTGGTTGTGTTTTATGGGATGGCAATGACATGAGTGACTCTCAGCAATCAAAGGCCATCGAGGCCGCTCTGAAGAAAGTGAAGCGTCCGAAAGTAGTTGCTGTTACTGGAAAGCCAGGTGTCGGAAAGTCCACATATATCCACAATGAGGTGAAGTCTTTCCAATGTACTATCACTATCAACGGAGTACCTGACTACACTTCCATTATCAAGAAGCTCAATTCACTGCCCCGACAAGCGACTGTTCTGTTCAGCTTGTCATCACATTTGCCATGGGATATTGTTGATATGCTCTTCTTCAACTTGCTTGTAACAGGATCATTGATCAGTCCAACATCTGGTTCAACACACACTATCCCTCGGGATTCCGATTGGAAATGGTGGGTTGAAGTGCCCCCTCCACCGAATCAGGCAAGCACCGGTTCGAACTACCTGAGAAAACACTTGCCAATGTTAGCATTATTTGCTGAAGAGAGAGCGGTCAATGAGCATCACGCATTTATCTTGTCAGATCGAGATTGTCTTGTTGCGAGATACACTGCCTGTTACCTCACAAAACGGAATGGTAGAAAGCGAATCAATGAGAAAATGGAAGGTGACCAGAAATATCCGGATCTAAGCAGCTTCCCAATGAGTGCACGTGATTTCAAGGAGTCACTTCTCAAACTCTGGGAGCTCAGTATCGAGATGAAACCAAGCTCACCAACGTCGATGTTGTTGAAAGGTGACAAGCGAGTCCAGGCCATGTTCGTAGCATACCTTCAGAGACGATTCAAATATTTTGAACAGAAGTCATTCTTCCGTCACTTTGACCTTCCTTCCATGGGATCCGATTTATTCGAACAATTCATTGCCGAGGCTCACTATCTCTGTGCAGCGGATCTGGAATGCTCCTGGAGAGATTGTCGGCAGTCTTTTTTGGTATTTGATTCAGCTTATCAGAGAATGTGGCCTCTCTACCCAAAGTGTACACATGCCTCACACCAGATGACTACTGTTGGTTTCAACCGCATCACCAAGGGAGCGGAGGAGACCCTAAGATCATCTTCGAATCGGTGGGAAAGGTATATTGCAGACACTTTCCATCTCAATGAGGTTATTTTATCACAACTGCTACGTGAGAAACAATTTGTGCTTACCCCGGATGCTGCTTACAAGATCTTGATGATCCACGAGCGAAAACAAGCACGGATTCCTCTTGTCATAGAAGGAGAAACCGGCGTCGGAAAAACGTTTCTTCTGGAATTCTATGCAAATCTTCTTGATGAGCAAGCGATGCAGCAAGGTCTGGGAAGAAGCAAAGCACCTCGGCTGAGGAAGCGCTTTTCTGAATGGTTGGGACAGAAACTACAGAACCAGCAGTATGCAATGCGATTGGCCTCACAGCAATCACAGCTCACAAAGTATAAGGCTGGTCTTCTTGCAAAGTCTTACGATCAGAACGCACTGGTAGATATTTGGAAATGGGTTCTGGACAATCTGGCTTCCTGTGAAACCACTGCACCGACAGGCACAAGTTTGCAAGGCGCTCTGTGTGAGCAGCTCATCAGAGATTTGCAGACGTTTATGTCTCAATGCTATTCTGATATACCACGTCTAAAACCACTGGCAGCTGGGAGCTTTCTCAAGACACTGATAGACAGCACGAAACCAACCAGAGATGAGTCTGTCACTTTACTGAAGCTGTTCTTACAAGCCGAAGTGCATCCTCTCCTTTGGCATCAGCTGGTTCATCCCGGAGTGCAACCTCATGAGATTGACATGTTTCTACAGACACCTTGCCGGCTGGCCACCCAATTAAAGCACACGCAGCTTGTTGTGTTTTTTGACGAGGTCAACACAGCGTGTAGCCCGGGAATCTACAAAGAAATTCTCGTTGATCACAGCTTGAATGGCAAGAGACTGCCAGACAATATCTTCTTCGTCGCTGCCATAAACCCATACACACCCTCAGATGCTCATGACACTAATGCTGTTAGAGAGCAGCATGTCAAGACTGCGAGTAAAAGCGCCAGTGTAATGGACATTGGAGAGAGGAACTACACTGTACATGAGTTACCAGCATCTATGGTGTCATTCAGGTGGAAATATCCTGGTCTGGACAATAACACGGAACTGGAACAATATATTCAGAAAAGGCTTTCCATGCAATGGCGCAACCTGAATGATGGTACAGCTTGTGAACCAACAGCTGTCCAATCACAACTAACTACCATACTTCTTGCCGCTCATAGGTTTTTCTTGGACAAGAAACTCCTTGGATCTGTCAGCCACCGGGACATCGAGAAAGTATTTTGCCTCATTCCGTTCTTTCAAGCATGTTCATTCTTCCATGTGCTGGGTGCTCAAAATGTGCCTGGAGAGTTGAATAGAACACCGGTGCAGCCCATCTCCAAGATGCGCACTAGCATCTATCTTGCTGTGTGTGTGGTGTACTATATGCGCCTTCCTGACCAATCTCCAAAAGGGAATGGAGTTTGCCGTGCCAGTTTCGACAACCATCTGGATGTCACAACTGGCAAAAGGGTCTCAGAAGTGTTTGAGGAAGCGGTGAACCAGTTTGTGACAAGGGACAACTTTGCAATTCCGCCGGGTGTTGCTCTGAACCAAGCATTGAAGGAGAACGTATTTGCAATAACAGCTTGTATCCAGACCAGAACTCCAATGTGTATCATCGGTGCTCCTGGAGCGTCCAAGACACTGAGTTTTCACATTGTTCGTGACAACTTGCATGGATTGTCGTCACCAAAGAAGTTTTGTGAGCAGTTTGAGAAACTACATTGCCTTTTCTACCAGTGTTCAGAATATTCCACCAGCAACGATATCAAGCAAGTTTTAGTTGAGGCTGAGCAGTTTCAGGAAATATACAACAATGACCACACCGCAAAGACAAAGACGCGGTGTGTGGTGCTGCTGGATGAAGCAGGCCTGCCAAGCAAAAACAGTATGGTGTTGAAGGTGCTTCACCCATTCCTGGACAAGTGCAGGATGTCATTTGTAGCCATATCCAACAATCATTTTGACTCTGCCAATGAAAACCGGATGGTTGTCGTTCTTCGCTCATTGGCCTCCCTAGATGATATGCTAGTTCTTGCTGCTGGATGCGTTGGCCATGTGGTCAAGTCTCTTGATAAGAGCGCTAATCTCTTTTTACAAGGTCTTTGCAATGCATATCGAGAGGTAGTGAAAGATGACACCTTTGGAAAAATCTACCACTGCCGCGATATAATTTACCTTCTCCGCCACATCCATCGTCACCAACTTCAGAGCAGGCACTCATTAAGTTTTAGTGGGGATCTGCTGCTTAGAGCACTTGAGCAAAACTTCAATGCCACTGATGATTCTGATTTCAGGCGCATCACCAACATCTTCTTTCAGTGTGTCGAAGCCAAATTGCAAGAAGCGGGTATAACCTTTCAGCGTCCTCAGCAAAAGTTCTACCGCTCTAAGATGGCAATCCTTCGTCATGCACTTCGATTTTCATCACACCGTGGCCGGCCCCAGAAAGATCAGTTTGAAAAGCCAATAGAGACAGGTCATCCCTTAGCACCACGGTTCAAGTTGATTATTGATCCAACAGATGATTTTTCCGGATTGCGGCTCCTCCAGAATGAAGGTGTGATAAGCAGAGACACTGCCAAGGTTTTCTGCATGAGTGACTTGTTGCAGGATCAATCTGATGTTCATGTTGCTGAAGTAATATCTGGAATAAAGTACTGCGTAGAGCATCCCTCGACAGCCATTCTAATCAATGCATCACGTGTCTTTGGGAGCCTGTATGATCTGCTAAACCAGAGCTTCCTGCGGATTGGTGTATCAAGCAAGCAGAGTCCGCAGCAAGATGAAACAACAACGCCTAGAGCATATGCCAATATTGCAATGGGCACAAAGACATACAGCTGCGAAGTTCACGCAAGCTTCCAGTGCATTGTGTTCTTGAGCAAGAGAGATTTTGACAGCTCACCAGCTCCATTCCTCAGTCGCTTTGAAAAGTTTTTAATCACTCCAGAATCCATACTCAATGAGCGCATTCACCGGTTAACACATGCAGATCAGCTGAAAGTGCGAGCTGCCTATAACATCTGCCAATCATTTGTTGACCACATGGGTCCTTCCGCGTTCTATGGATATTCTCCAGGCAATACTCTACCTTCGCTGCTCATGTCACACATTCAGCCTCCAAGGGAAGGAGATGAATTTGGCAGCTTCTGTGTGAATGAATTCACAGGCGTTCTCAACAACTTTGACAACATCACGGCAAATTGTAGTGAGATGCAGCGACTTGCAAGAGGGTTGTGTGCTCAACTTCTCCAGTTAGTGACACCTGAGACATTTGTGCTGAAGATGCACACACTGGCTGACGCAAATGATTATGCTGGCATCTATTTTCATGCTCTAGAAAGCACGTGCTGTGATTTGAAGCAACTTCTGGAAAATCGAACACCTGAAAGTGCAAAAAAGGGCAACAAGTGTGCCGATGCAGCTAAAGCACTCATGATGTTTACCCGCACGTCAAGTGACATGCAAAGCCTCCAGTCATTCATCAGTGCCACGGTCAGTAAAACATCGATGCAACACATCGCTGTTGAGAACGCACACGAGTTTATGTGTAAACGTGATGTTGAATCGAGACTTCAGCGCTTCCAACAGGATTCAAGAACATGCTTGGTGGTAAGCATTGATTCCAAGAAGGCTTCAGATCACCGCATCTGGCATCAACTTATCACCGACAACATGGTGTCTTGTTCCGAAAGCAACAAATTCTTCGTAATGCTTTTCCACATTCCAGAATTGGAAGTCCATCTACCAAGCAACCATGCAGCAACCTTCCTAAATAATTGGAGCTGTCTGTTCCTGGATTCGGTGTGCCAACCTCCATTCAATCTACACCGCCTTGCTGGAATCATTGTCAGAGAGTCGCAGTCATATGGTGACGACAATGAAGTGGACCTAAAAGAAACACAGAAGCATCAGGACTTTGCAGAATTGGTGCTACCAACGAGATTCGATAAGCTTGGCCAAGAGCTGGCCACCCGGTATATTCCCTGTCTGAGTAATAAAGTGAAACTTCCGAAAACTGTCAAGGCGTCCTGCCAACGGCTTTACAAGAACAAAGGTGAACTTCATGAGCAACTACAGTGTGTACTAGATGATTTCCCTTGCATTCTCAAGCTGGCATGTAAGAGATTTTCACGCTCATATTCCGATCGTCAAGCCTACAAGCTGATGTGCAGTCTTGCTCGGGACCTCACCAGTCGCAACACATCAGGCAGTTTTGCGGCAGCTATAAATCAAAGCATCCAGCAACTGTTTCCATCCGTCTTGGACCCTGTCCTGACGAGTGTCTGTAGCAACTACGGCTTGGCACATCTCAATGAGTGGTCAGAAGAGACTATTTCTTGTCTAGTTGACTTGATTCCTGTATCATCATGCAAACGTCAACAGGTCCAGCAGGTTCAACTCTCACTCCATCGCCTGGTGCCTGGACTGCCTCTCTTTACTCTGCTCAGGCAGAGAATCTTATCAGTACTCTCCAAGTTGCATACTGGATTCAATGTGGACAAGGCGAGGCAGCTGCTAGAACAGGACAAGATAATTGGCAAGCTGCTGTCAGGCAGCGAGGCATCAAAGATACAGGAGACATTTTGCAAGGACTATCTCCTGTTGCTGCTTGCAAAAGGTAGCAAACAAATCTGCGAGGGATCGCGTGAACTTTTGTCTGTGCAGCAAATTCTCCAATGGCTCAAGCTTGATCAGGAGTACCAATGCCAGTCTGCACCTCGCAACCTGATTGTCGTGATGTACTGGGCAACGGAAAAGAATAAAAAGAAAAGGGAGGTCATTGCCACATTGTTCCAGTGCAGTATGACAGTGGATAACATTCCAAATTCCATCACAGACATCTCAGCAAGAATGGCAGTGCATAACTCCTTACAAGATGCTTTCTCTGCTCAATTACTGTCTTTTTTATGTGATCAGCTATGGAAACACCTTCTGACTCTAGCAGAGAATGGTGAGGCTGAAGAGTGGTCCGAATCCCTCGCTGAGTGGGTTATTCTGCTCCAACTTTGGAATGAACCAGATATCAACAACTGTCTCTCTGCCATGTCAGGTCAACTTGGAACCACTGTAGACAGGCTATCACTGATGCGTAGCATGAAAGTGTTCTTGTGTGGACTGACAAGGCCCATTGCCACGGCTTCTGTTCGCAAAGTCAGTGCAGTCCATACTGCGCACGCTGAGCAGGTATCTTGCCAAGCATTCATTCAGTGTATGACATCACTTGCAACTGATCTAGGGACATCCAATCAGAAAGAAAGGGTCATTCTGGCCCTTCTAGAGACTGTCCAGTTCTGGTCATCAAACGGCCAAATCCAACAAGCTGACATCCAAGCCATATTTCGCCTTCTGAATGGAGGGTTGATCGCCAGTGATGTCCGTTATGCCAGCTTGTGCAGAGAACTCAGTGTACAAATCACCGATCACCTCTGGAAGAGAGATGATAAGACGACAGTTGGTTGTCTGAAGAGCGAGCTATCGATGCACCACAGCTACAAGCCCCCAGTCTATGAAGGTTACTCACCCCTCAAGAAACAGCCATTAGCTGATGTACTCTTCTTCCATCAAGTTAGAAAGCATGGTGAAGGCACAAGGCAACTATCAATTGATGAGTTGTACCGGAGAATACTTGACTTTGGAACTGATAGTTCACCGTCCAGTCTCTTTCACAGCGTTGTCTTGGCTGGCTGGAAATACTGCCTACTTGAGCAAATGGTCGCGATTATCTCCAGACAATCTGCTGCCTCGGTAATCCAAATTGACAGTGACTTCAGAACAGTGTTCAACTATGTGACAAGTACACAGGACTTTGACCTGAAGCAGCCATCATCCATGTGTTTGTTCTTCCTCAAGGCTTTGAAATCAAAGGTCAGCACACAGCACCTTATCAAGTGGTTGACCAAATACAACAGTGATTGGTGTAGAGCAGTTCTCTTGAGCATTAACCAAGGCACTAGCGAGTATTTACCGGTAACGTTTCTCTCATTCATGCGCTCTCCGAACCCACCTGCCACTGGCGAGTCGACACATATTGGATTTGAGAGAGCCCATTCACAGTACGCTGAGCTCCAAAGTGTGTTCAAGAAGATGGAAAGCAAAGAGTACTCGGTCATTCAACAGTGGATCTCTAGTCGGCTTTCGGCAAACACACTGGTGGATGGTATACCAGTACGCGCATGGATGAAAGGCTCTCTGCTGCTTCTCATTTTCCATGACTATCACCAGAAGAGCAAATGTCAACCGCTTGAAGCTTTATGGTCCAATTTTGATGCCGTATTCAATTGTTTACGGCTTTCAACATTGGAGAAGAATGCGTTTCAATTCTTCTTGAGTAAGACCTATCGAAAATCAGCCCTTGGTTCTGATGATGAGCTTTATTCTCTATTTGATCCACAGTCCAGCAACGATCAACATATCATGCCTCAGCTAATGGTCAATGTACTGGTTTGCAATCTATTCTTCAGCCAGCAAACACATTGGTATTCACTCATCGCCAACCCAGACAGCCTCAAAGATTCATTCTATTTTGGAGCAGTTTCCTACACAGGGCGGAAAGGCCGGCTTGATGGGGGGTATAACATTGATTGTTACAGCCAGTTTGATGATGAAGGGCGACCAACATGCACTCCGGACAGCAGGCTGAGTTCTACTATGGCTCTACTCTGCCTTCTGTTCACATTCAGCTCCATCTTCTGGCATGTGGCTCTAGTCGGAGTAGATGATATCTTCGAAGTCGTTAGCAGGTACTATGTAGAAATGGCCGCACCAGAACGTAGCTCACGTGTAAAGGCAATGTGGTTCTGTCGACAGCGAATTGGAATGCCCATCAACTGTTTGGTGAATGGTATTGCTGGACGAGGGCCCCTGAGCCAAGAAAAGTCCGCACTGCTGATCACACGATGCCTGGAGAAAGTTGTCACCATGCAGTACAGACACACACATCTCTTCTCACCGAAATATTCAGACAGTGGTCTCAAAGAAACTGCAGAGTGTGCATTTCAACAAGACCTGTGCAATAACATACTTGACAGATTGGACAAATTTGAGGCGAATATTTCGTATGGCGATCTTGCAAAGAAGATAGCACATTATCCTGGCCCGTTGCCACCGATGGGCATCACTACTGTTCTCCAAGCTGTGCAGAGCAATAGCAGCACTGCTGTTGGAGCGCACCTCAACTGCATTAGGCACTTCTTTTCTAATCTCAAAGAGCTGGAGCTGTTGACGGCTTTTTCAGATTTGCTGGTGATGATGGAATGGCTGCAAACAACTGGATCTCACCAGTACATGCCAGATGCCTGTCTGTCACAACTAAAAGTTGGTGTGCAAAGAGAGACTCTACGCAAAGGCATGGATGCCTGGAACAGCGTACATGCCTTCAACGGCGGTCGTATTGCCGTCGACTGTGCTGCTCCCCGGATAGAACGAATTGGAGATGGCACACCTTTGTCCTACATCAGTGACATGTTGCCAAAGGTTCTGAAATACTTGTTGAAAGTTCAGTGGGACTTTTATCATGACTGTACCCAAACTTCATCTACAAGTCTCGATGAAGGCAACCAGTTGGGCGTGGAATTACTGGATTCACAACCTTCTGTGCCTTTGGAGGTTGTTGCAGAAATGAAGGGCAAAGGTGCTCTGTACATCGACACTGATGAAGTTGATTCCATTGTGCGCCAGTGCTCCAATTTTGTTTTGACAAGACGAACAGTGGACTATGATCTACTTCGACTCCAACGGTTGATCTTAGCCTATGTGGCTCAGTCTATGCGTGTTGTCACATATGAAAAATCTCATCTGTTAGCTCCGCTGCAGTTTGCTATACACCTCGATTCAGGACAGAAGTTCCTCGATAGGTATCGTCTGAAGAATGACCTGCCAGAAGTATTCTGCAAGCCATTAAAAGACCATCGTCTTCGCCTGGTAACAATGTTTGTAAGGAAATTGAACCATGAGCAGGCCATCAGCTTGATGAACGCTCTAGCAACAATCTCCAATGTGCAATGTTTCAACCAGCCTGCTGCTAGCTCAAATCAAGATTGCTTGCTGAGCAAGTGCATCAAGGATATCTCTGGAAGCTCACAAAGGAGTTACGACACATCCTTTCTGCCGGATCTCCAGCATCTGGAACAACAAGCTCATGTACGCCTTGGCAATATCTCCTGGGTACACAAAATGGTTCATAATCACATCGTGACAATGGGCTATCTGCATGCTGATCTTCCATTGACAGTTCGGTTCGATCTTCAACCGGAGGTACGTGCATATAGGTCAGGGGTGTTGGAAGGTATTTTAGTGTGGTACGGTCAGCCATCTGAAGTACAATTTACTCGTGGGGGAGTGGTGGCTGAGCCGAACATTTTGGAATTTTAGATCCAAGATCAATGTATTTTGTTGATTCACGGGGTATCTGGGGCAAATCATCACAATTATCAATGCCAGGGACACCTACTCGAAGATTCACTCGTAGCCAGGTGCGGATGCATACTGGAAGAGACGAGCGATACTGGAAGTGACAACGAGCGTAAGTGGGAGAAAGTGTGGAAGACCACCACGAAAGCCATTGGCCAAGACAACGGAAGAATCAGACACCGGACGAGTAACCGGGCGGTGTGGTGGAAAGGACGAGTCAGGACCTGCGGCATCGGAAGTGACTACAAGGCGACTGCCCAGTGGAAAGGACGGGTCAAGAGCTGCGACATTGGAGGTGACCAAAAATACGCGACATGCTAGCAATCAGCAATCGGCTATCAAGATTCATCTGTCGGTTAGTGATAGTTGTCATGAGGTGTAAGTTTTGGCTCGTGGCAGATCTGTATTACATTTGTCTGTTTTGGAAGCGTTATATATTCGTAAGTTGTCCCCTGAACTATGTGTTCAGAAGGAAAATGCTTTGTTGCCTCAGTTGTTTGGCGTTAATCCTCGTGAAAGTGTCAGGAATGCTTCTTCTCCCTGATGTTTTCATTATGTTTTAGTCATTTCTTCACCTTCACCCTGCTTTCGACAAGTTCTGCTGAATTTTTTCCCACACGTATAGCGTGAGGTTATTGTTCTATGCTTTTGCTGTAGCTCTATAAGTTGCTGTATTTTTGACATTTTTCCATTATTCCCTGTACTAACCCATGATGAGAAGGGAACGAAAACGTTCAGTTACAAAATTGGCTTACTTGACTGTGTGGATTGCGTCGGTGCTGACACCTTTTCTTTCGAAAATGAGACCAATGAGAATAGGACTTGAATAGAGGGGATTTTAAAAGGATCGATGATCTAGCAAGTGGGAACTGGAGAGAACATCAAGTTTATTATTATTATTATTTTGCTTGTTCGCGTTGGCATCAACTTGCATAAAGCAGGTATATAGCCTTCGCTGAAGCTGCCATAAAAAAGAAAGCTCATCCTAAGCGAGAGGGCTAGAGGAAAAGATAACGATAACGAAATACAGAATACAAAGAAATCCAATGAGTTAAACATAGTTCAAAACATGAAAAAAGAAGAAAAAAGAAAAGCAGAGCCGAAGTTACTAATCGGAGTTACGAATGCGTTGGTACCGACAAAGGGGACTAATAGGGGATTCACACTCACGGAGAAACCTGAGGTCACGGGACAAGGTAAAAGTTCAGACTTTCGGTCAACGGAGTGGGGCCGTTCGCACCCATGGTCAGTTCTCCTTGGCCGCATGTTTGGCCATGAATTTGTGGCGGGGCAATGAAAAAAATAATCTGTGGTGCATTTTTGTAGTACGTTCTGTACTGTATTTTGCATTCGCCATACACGATTTCCCGATGGGCACTGTCTGATAATGCAGGTTGCGATGCACCCGTACAACTACCATGACTACGAGTTCAGAGTTCTCGCCAAAGGCAAGGTCTACACACGCGTGTTGTATAGCCATGGGATTTTTCCCTTAACAAATGCCCTGAGGCCCACGGCCACGGCTTTGCCAATTTTTCCCGAGAGGTTCTTCCTTTCCCCCAGTACCATAGTTTCCATAACAACTTTCCCATAACCGTGGTTATCACTCCCCCCTCACGTGACTGCGGACTCCTGCATATACACTCACACAATAACCACACAACTGTTTGGGGATGGCGCGCTTCTCGTATTATGCCAAACTTGACACGCTGAGTCCAGCTTGACTCAGCCGAGTCCCTAACTACTATTTACTGCTCTAACATGAAGCCGTGCCTGGAAAAAGGGAAAACAATTCTGGCCTTCTGCAAGCAATAACAAGTAATGAGTGCCGGCTGTGTAAAGTCGCACAACCATGAAGTCGACCGGATGATGGTGAGTGTCCGGCACACATCTTGTTCTGCTGCTCCACCTGCGCATACCTAGTACCTGATACGGTGGTGTGCTTACGGGCTGCCTGGGCCCCAGATATGCCTCCCTGATGCGCCACGGGGTGCAGTCGAAGCACCTGTATCACTTCGGTGATCCAAATGCGAATGCAGCCTTGCCGGTCGCCCGCCGGCCTGCCGCTTACGCGACCAGCCTGAGACTGGTCCTGCCGCATTTGGCGCTTCTAAACGCTATGATCCGGTAGACGGCTCACTGGGCTGCCAAATACGTGACTGGCTTGAGGACAGTTCTATACTTCACGGCAGGGCGCCCAGCTCAGGTCGCACGCGGTAGCGGCGTGAGCTGGGCGCGGTGAGGGTTGGTGATAACTACAGTTTCCTCCTTCCTCCTTCGAAGTAAGATTTTTTGTTCATCATTTCTTCCATATCACATTATTATTATTTTATTTTATACTCGGATGTTGAGCCATAAATAAATGTGGAAGAGAAAAAGACATATGGATACGAGTTAAGAGTAACTCTCCATCACTGTAACATGATACTATATACAGTCAGAAAGTGCAATAACTAGGCACAAAACTGACAGAGTACTGAAACATTCGACGTCCTGACACCTAGCTTCAACACATCTCCGTAGCGCTAACCGACAGCCTTCCAACTTGGAAGGTTCAAGGTTATGGAAAGACCAAAGAGGGGAAGGCAAGCGCAACGAAAACGAGCAAAAGCTACAGTCCCAACGGAACAAAGAATGTCGATTGTTACTGGACGATGACAATCGACATTCTTTGTTCCGTTGGGACTGTAGCTTTTGCTCGTTTTCGTTGCGCTTGCCTTCCCCTCTTTGGTCTTTCCATAACCTTGAACCTTCCAAGTTGGAAGGCTGTCGGTTAGCGCTACGGAGATGTGTTGAAGCTAGGTGTCAGGACGTCGAATGTTTCAGTACTCTGTCAGTTTTGTGCCTAGTTATTGCACTTTCTGACTGTATATATATTTTTTATTTTTTTTATTTTTTTATTATTTCACAATGACGATGACATAGTGCCAATAAGCATGTGATGCGGGCGATTTTAACCAGCCATGGTGGGGACAACTGAGAAAAAGAAGGAGAAGAAAAAGAGAAAAGAAAAGAAAACAAAAGGAGTACTATAGGAACCTGGAGAGAGCAGTATGAAGATTAGGCTAGCAATGGAAAACAACGAATTCAATTCAATTCAACTTAGGCGCGGGCAGAATGGAACAAAATGCAGCGAAGGTGTCACGAGACTTTACCTCCTGCGGAAGCCGAGACCAATGAGAATGGGACTTGAACAGAGGGGATTTTAATAGGATCGATGACCTGGCAAGTGGGAAATGGAGAGAACATCTAGTACGCGAGCTATTATTGAACCAGCTTAAATGCGCAAGTGCATGTGGAGGAGCAAGTTGAAGCTTAATACGGTGAATGAATTTGCATGCCGAGTGGGGAAAGCGTTCTGAGAGAGGGGAAGAGGAAGCGAAAATGTATAGCGTCTGAGAGGAGGTCAGGGGGGGCATGCGAAATATTAATCGAAGTAATTTACGGTGGGTGACTTCTAACCGATGCATAAGAGCGGAGGATAGACCGGAGGACCAAACGAGAGAGCAGTAATCAAACAAAGGAAGAACATAAGAGTGATAAATTTGTATTCGACAACCATGGTGTAGGTGGGAGATGTGAGGAGAAATGCAGCCTATCGCGGAGCAAACTCGCTTTTCAATATAGGTTACGTGCGAATCCCAGGACAAGTGTTCATCAAGAAATATACCAAGGTGTTTGTGATTTTTAACAATGTTGATAGCAATGGGATCATCAGGGAAAGTAAAAAGCCGAGTCGTAAAGAGGGTGCGGTCACTGGAGGGTCGTGCGGGGATACAAAGGATTGCCGTTTTCGACACATTGGGGTGGAGTTTCCACTTCGACATCCAGCGCACAACTTGATTAATGTGATACTGTAGCGAGTCGCAGGCTTGCAATAAGCCTGGCTCGGTTATATGGAGCGCTGTATCGTCCGCGTAGAGTGAGGTATGATCCAAACCTGCCAAATCATTAACGTATACGATGAACAATAGAGGCCCCAAGATAGAGCCCTGGGGCACTCCAGAGTGGACTGTTAGAGGGGCGGACAGGGCATGTCCAATTCGGACACTCTGTCGACGTTCAGTGAGATAGCTGGTGAGCCACTGCAGACACGTCCCGGCTACGCCAAACGCTGCTAACTTATGGAGGAGACCCCTTGTCCAGACAGTGTCAAATGCTTTGCTCAGGTCGAAAAAACATAGGAGGCTAAATTGCTTCTGATCCTTGCATTCATATAGCTTCTGCACAAGCCTCAGCAACTGCCAGGCGGTCGAATCGCCTCGCCGAAATCCAGACTGTGACGGGTCAAGGACCGGGTTCACATGTTGGTATAAGTGGCCAAATGCCACACGTTCACAGAGCTTTGAAATGGTGGAAAGGAGTGAAATCGGCCGGTAATTGGATGCAGACAGTTTACTGCCTTTATTCTTGTAAATAGGCACAACCACAGCTGCCTTCCAGATATCAGGGAAGATTCCGGTGGCGAAGGACTGGTTGAAAACTCGGCTGAGAGGGATAGCTATACTAGGAGACAGGTATATAGTATCATGTTACAGTGATGGAGAGTTACTCTTAACTCTTATCCATATGTCTTTTTCTCTTCCACATTTTATTTTATTTTATTTTTTAATTATTATCAACTGGTTTATTTAAACAATCGACGAGGAGACAATAGTCGTAAAATGGCAATAAATAAGATAAACTGTACACTCATAACAACAGCAAAAATGAAGAAAGTCAAGTTCCATAACGTTTTCTTGTGACTGTCATCAGTGGAACGCCGTCACATAAAAATGTAATAACTAAAACACACACTTATATACATGTAGCTAATATGGTTTCAGGTAGAAATACAGCAGCTA